AGATTCCTCAGCAATAGACATCTAGAATCTCGTTAGTTGGTGTATAAAAAACACTAACATTTGAATTATTTATGCATTTATTGGGCGGCATAACATTATGTAAATTCATGTTTTGTTTTGTTCATTCAAATATCATTATCATAACACCTTTGTTCTATACATTTTTATTACAACGATAATAACTTTAAAGAATTTAACATTCTTTTTCTTTATTGAATCAAATATCATAAATTTTTATCGTTTGCATAAGATGGCTAATGAGAAAAAAAACACTTTGGCCAACTTAAAATGAATAAATTTTTATTAATATAAGTACGTTTACTACAAATTATAGGCTTATTTATTATTAAAGATTAATGTGAAGCTGTCAATGAATATAAACTTATGAAATCACAACAATAATGACTAGTTTCAATTTTATTCAGAAAATCTTACTTTTCCTACCGGAATTACTCATTTTCAAAGTTATTCATCATTTTTACTTCCATTTAGTATCAGAAGGGGTTTTGTGGTTAGTATAGTAAATTTAATAGTTGAGATCGTGAGTCAACTGAAGCTAGACCAGCATGCAAAACCTGGAAACACTGGAGGGCCGGCTCAGTGATCTAGAGGTTAAACGCTCGCGCGCGAGACCGATAAGCCCTGGGTTCGAATCTCGTGAGGGGGTATCGTGGATGCACATCGATGAGGATTCCCACAATAGGACGAAATGGCAGTCCACTGCTTCCAGGTTTTTCATGATGGTCTAGCTTCAATTGACTCATTATCTCAACAATTAAAATTTCCTTTAATATTTATCAGAAGTACAAGGATATACATGTACGTGTCATCCAATAAAGAAAATTGTACATTGTACTATAATTTTGAATATTTTTCTCTCTCTCTCCCTCTCTCGAAATCAACCCAATAAAAATATGAAATATTCTGAAAATTCTCTTGAGGATCTCATATACATGGGATTCTCAATACAATAAAATTCAAAACACTTAGTCTCATTGATTTATAATGAAGCTTATTTACCATGGTTGAAATAATTTTTTTCTTTTTTTATCACTCAAAATTACTTTTGTATTTGTTTAATAAACTTTCTTCTGAATATATACTTGATCAATTATGTCGTACTGTTTTGGTTATTTTTAAATTAAAATTCAATTAGTTCTCAAAACATAAATTGGGTTTTGTTATGTAACAGTGAATTCTATTGTCGATAATATAATAAGAAGACGAAGATTATCAGAACTATGTGATATGTAATTGCAACAGGTCATAAGATTGATCTAAACTCGGCTTTTGTGGTGTTGTATAAAAATGTAAAAGGGTGTATACTAAGGTTTATTGAAGCCTTAGCCATACGAAAATTCAGACCCCTTTGTGTGTTCAAAAACAGTTTGTTCTTACCTTAAACCTACCCTGGTAATATTGACTTATTATCCAGAGTGATTAGGTTTTGAATTGTGTTCACATTATTATTACTCTTATCATTATCCTTATCTCCACTTACCCCGTTTGCAGTCTAGTTGATCTTTTATTTTTATATATAAATGCTCTTAACAAGTGTATGTGTGATCAGATTGTTCGAAATGTATTGCGCTAATCTATCACATAGTTCTGATAATCTTCGTCTTCTTATTATATTATCGACAATAGAATTCATTGTTACATAACAAAACCCAATTTATGTTTTGAGAACTAATTGAATTTTAATTTAAAAATAACCAAAACAGTACGACATAATTGATCAAGTATATATTCAGAAGAAAGTTTATTAAACAAATACAAAAGTAATTTTGAGTGATAAAAAAAGAAAAAAATTATTTCAACCATGGTAAATAAGCTTAATTATAAATCATTAGCCTATAGTTTATCCTTTGATTTGAAACCAGACACTAGAAATGAAATACATAAAGAATATTCCTTGAAGAGATATTACTGAAAAGGATTTTTAAATGATAATATTATTTATTTATTTATTTGAACACATAAATATTGGTACAAGAGAGCGCCAATATATATGCGCCACACAAAACAATGGGAATTCGAAGAGAAGTAGAAAGAAAAAAAAAACTAAGGAACGCAAAAGAAAAAGAGAGTAATGACGAAGAGGTACAATCAGAAGAAATCTTTCAGGTAAAGGAGACACTACCACTTTTTATGAAGAAAGTAAAAGAAGGTTACAGCAGGATCGCCACTGGCTTCTATTCTGAGCCATATCTGATAACGTCTCTAGCCACTGTGTAGCACCATCTCTCGGACCCCAGCCAGGGAGTCGTGAAGGACCAACACAAGCCAGTCCTTTGCAGCTTTCTTTCATGCCACGACACCATGTCATGCACTGACCACCTCTCCGCTTCTTCCAACCAGTCCCAGAGTCGGCAAATAATGCACGACGTGGAATTCTCTGGGACGACATTCGGAGAACACGTCCAAGCCACCGAAGTCGGTGTTTCAAGATGGTGACACCAATTGAGTTATCATCTCTGTGCCCGAACACACGATGCCGAACCTCTGCATTACTGACATGGTGTTCCCACTGAATGTCAGCAATCCTTCGGAGACATTAAATGATGGAAATTACTTTTGTCGCTTTGAAAAACAATCAATCGATTCAAATTAAATGATAATAATATATAATTTTATAACTACTTATTATTACCATTGTTGTATCCTAAACTTTCTACATTATATCAATTATAACCTGTGTGAAAATATCTCCTAAATGAAATACACCAATGCATCATACTGTAAGTATCCTTAAATACTAAAAAATTCACTCTAATTTCAATCAAGTGGTAATCCAATCACATGACAACACGTGAATAATAAAAGCTGAGAAAATATTACTTAACTGTGTTATATTATGACATTTATGTGATTAGTTGGGAGAAAAAAATGCTCCGCCTTTGTACGTTTAATGAAATCATTTTAGATTTGTATTTTTGTTTACAACTTCATTCTACAGAATTAAATTCATTCTCAAGATTAGTCTTATTGAAAAATAGAAATAATAGAAGACAACGCCTGACTTGTGAATTATTATTTACCAAGAATACATCGCTACTTTTAAGAAAAAATATTTTTAACTAATCTAAAATTATCAGAAGGGGTTTTGTGGAGATTTTAGTAATTTCAATAGAGGCATTTCCTGGAGTTCTAATGAAAAGCCAGTGGAGTTCAACCAGGTCTGTTGTGAGATATCGGTTCACTGAAGACAATGGTGTACGGTGGAGCAATTTCGTGGATTAGTTAAAGTTAGATATTAACTGTTGGATGCCGGCTCAGTGGTCTAGTGGTTAAGCGCTCGCGCGCGAGACTGATAGGTCCTGGGTCCGAATCTCGCGGGATCATGGATGCGCACTGTTGAGGAGTCCCATACTAAGACAAAACGGCCGTCCACTGATTCCAGGTTCTTCATGGTGGTGAACCGAGGCAACTAAACAAGGTATAGTTTAATTGGTATGTTAGCTAACTTTACCATCCAATGAACGTAATGCAGCTCACAAGTGAAATGATATAAATAAGGTAAAACTGAATATCACTGGGGTATAAAATATTGATGGAAAGTGTAAATCCCTTTTGTGTATTTGTTGGCGAACATCAATATAGTATATCTGGAACGACATAAAGACTCAAGGAAACTAGCTGCCTTAAAGATATAATAGTGTATTAAGGACTGACGGTAAATCAGTTGTGAATCTAAATCGGCTGAGATGGTTGGGCCACGTATTACGCACGTCCAACCACTGATTACCACGACACACAGTCGTGACTAGTGTCGGAGACGGATGGAACAAAGGGGCAGCCAAAACAAAACGTGGCATCAGTCCACAAAATCACTAACTTCTGGTCTGAGCCACGTTGGTATATGCAGATTACTTGGTTGGGGTCCGCGTGACTAACGTAGCTAATGGTTGCGCACTCCGGGTGACATGGCTTAGAATCTATCGCAATGGCGTAGGTGTATATATACGTTATTTCCCCTTGGACCATATCCTTAAATGGAATGTCTTTTTGTATATAATTACCACTGAAGTAACTGCTCCTAAAAATCGGCGTTCATCTTGTTGTGCTAATGAGGTATGGCAACTTTGACCGATGCATATGTTTGTGGTCCTACATTGTAGGTGATTGACTGGCGAAAGTTAGTTGGCATATGATTGTTGGGCTTGTCCGAAACACTCGTTTCAGTACATCAAACAAAGAAAGCATAATGATGGTGTTCCTCTATTACTGTTGCGCAGAAATGCAGATATACTAGCTGAATCAGATCTAGCCAAAGCTGAGATCTCATCAAAATAGATGAATCATCAGTGAGGATCACAAAATATATAGAGCTATTTTCAAAAATGTTAAGAAAATGAACTTGTATATGATATTATGTGCTTTCTTAACGAAGAGTTAAATAGCTTTCGAAATAAGTAGAAGAGCAGTTGAGAAGTTGACCAATAGTAATTTTCCCATATCTCCAGCAAAATATTATTAATGATCGGTGTCACTATGGAGATATGTATGTCCTCCACTTACTTTATTTGCTACGTAAGCAAAACCAAAAGCAATCACATATATCTTTCACTTATTAGAGTAACCCACTTTTGTAAGATTATTTCATTTACAATTCACTTATGTACAAAATAAAATTCTAGTCATAGAATTAAGTTAATGATCTTTTGTACAACAGATTATCGAAATTGAGAAAAACAAAAAACCGAAAAATAATAAAGAAAATCGAATGGCTATTCAAAAGAGGAATGAAATTGCAACCAATAACTGTCAAAGTATCGAACGAAAATAAGACATAAATTAAAATATACTCGAACAAAGAGATCACTTGAAGTAACAAGTAATATAATTTTATCGACTTGAAAGTTTATATATATCGACTAGTTCTTCGACAAGAGAGGAAAATGCAGGAAAACAAATATACGAATATACTACAAATATTTCCACTAGTTGTGTAAACACACATAACAATCGAATTGTCGACAGGATAGAATAGACTATGACTAGTAAATACGTCGATCAAGTTCTTCTGAACCGTTGGTACAAGGCAGTTCATTTAGCCATTCCGTACGTTCTAAGTGTGAACTAGGTTTAGATGTGATGTCCAACTGATGCAAACACCGAATCGTCGTTACCACATCTAAACTGATTGACAACGTAGCATCTCTTAATCGTCGGCCAGCAATCCACATTGAAGAAACCAGGAAGCAAATGTTATACGTTAATATGACTAGGCCTAGCCCATAACTAGGCGAAACAGATGAATAGCCGAAAGCACGAGAAATAAACTGACGGAAAATCGATTGTTTTTTAGCTTGGATCGGGCGGGGTACCGTTAACTCATCTAGATTATTCGGAGAGGAAGAACTAAATGGATTAATTATATGGATAAAATTAAACCAGTTCAATGAATCGAAGTATGTGCCACTGATCAGTTTTGTCCACCAACTGATAGATTTTTTGCTCGAACAGTTGGACGTATTTTCAGCACAAATAAATCGGTTTTGTGAAGATTCGCAGACATGACTTGAACATTCTGAATATGTGGGTAACATGATAGCTTCTGTTTTAAGTGGACTAGGTAAGGTGAGTGTGGTTAATCCTAGCAGATTGGTTTGCAGAGGAAGTGCGGCACTTAACATTAGGAATAACAAAATGTTCGCCAACATAATATCCAAACTCGTTGCGTGATATCTCGGTCGAAGAGAACGAGCACATGGGAGTGAGTAAAAACCCCACAAACTTAATACAAGAAGAAACAGCACCAGACAGACCTAGAAAGGAAATAATCAATCAACTGAGAACGCGATAAACAGAATGTTGTAAAACTTGAGTATTATTTATTACATTTAACGATAGGTTTGAAAATATAAATTCTATAATAATTACACAATTTTAGCAAAGTAGCATTGGAGACAAAACCTATTATACCTAAAACTACTAGATATTTTGGTCAACAGGTGAAATTCCCTGATTGTTTACTACTTGTGTTTATTAAAGAGATTTTAAAACATCATAATAAAACAAGTATTAAAAGTGAAAAAAGACAATCCAGTATGATGTCTGTTGTAAACGCAAGTGCTCAAGGAAAATAACAAAAACTGTTGAATGTTCTTGGTGCCATGAGAACTTTTTCGTTTATTATTGATAGACGCAAACACAAAAATTCCTACCCTTTGATTGCATATAAAGGAATTTCGCCGCGATTATTGTGGGGGCGCAAGTCAGGAAACTCGTTTTTATAAACCTAATAGGTGGAACAAAGCCCATAGGAGCTTAAACTTCGGCTGGAACCATTGAGCCACATGACGTGTATAAGTAGTGGATGGCGTAAAAACCTAAATACGCTTTCATATATTAAACGTCTTTATCAAACCAAATCCATCAGCACTGTGGTGTACTTTATACTTATACAGCAGAACGGTGAACACTATGCTTATGGAGCAAAATGAGCATAATTATTAATGGTCGGCTTGAACTGTATTATTAATACATAAAATCACATGCAGTGTAGATATCCGTAGAAGCCCGTATGTCAACTGACTTACTAATCAAGTAATAAAAATGACTGAAAGACGTTATTCATACCTACCAGTATCTCTAATCCTTGAATTCAGAATCCGGTCTAATTCATACTCCAAAATAGGGTTTCAGAATATCATTATGAAGCATGTACAAGCACAGCTATTTATCGCAGGAATCGAAATATCAGAACAGGTAAAAGTTCTTCAGTATTACAAACACTATTTGATGAAGATTGGTTGTATGTGAGCTTGCGTGTATGATGCCTAATCAATACCATTCAAACAGCAATATATTGAAAAGCTTTGTAAACTTAGCAGAATAGGACGTCTCAACTATTATGTATTAAGTGTAATGGGAGCGGTTTATGTAATTGCCATTTAAAATACCATATGATTACAGATAAGCAGACACGGTAAAAATGTTTGGAACCAGTTATATCTCACTTATTTACATACACAAGAGCATATGCAAATGAAAAAAATTACCTGGAAAGCAGCCCCAATATGTCCAAGTGACGAAACAGGTTTTAAGCCAAGTGTAAAACTGTAATCTGCAGAATTACCCGGAAATGATGAATAATCTTTGCTTTCCGTTGCCAGCAAATAACTACTGCTGTCTTTACTACCATAACTGCCAAAAACCATACTCCATAAGAGATCAATGATATTGAAGAACACAAACGATTCCAATAAGCGAAACAGAACAAAAAGCAAGATTAAACAGAAGAAATAAAAAAGTAAGTGTGTAGATTCGCGCATAAATCGCAAAAACGTACGTGCGTTTATACGTTGTTTAATCTGTAATATTTCTAAGTTCAACAAATCCAACTCATTTGTGTACTTGAGTAATAACTCTTCTTTTGACTTGACATCGGTATAATTCCGAAAACAGATTGATTTATGAACCAAAAAATTATCTTCCTCATTCATCATATTGCCAGCAGTATACAGAAGTTGGACACAATTAATGTCATCCATGACGGTTAACGCTTCAAAATTTAGTTGTTCAATACGATTATGCAATGTTTGCTTTGGTATTAAATTCGGTAAAGAATGTATACTGATTGTGATTAGGTTTAAGACGATAGACAGTAGACCCACTGGAGTACAAATAAATAATAATAACAGTCCTAATAAAGAGGCTGTCATTTGAATTAATTCTAAGGCTGACATAAATATCACCTGAATGAAAACGTCCTGAAGAAATCTTATCCAGCCAACAGACTTCACGTAATCCAGGAGAAGTGAAACTGGGTGATTTTCATAATAGTCAAGGTGATGAGTAGGACTGACAGAAAAATAAGTCTGATAATGGGATGTAAGAAATGAGTTGCTATCACTAGTAGGTAACACATCTGATAAAAAATAATAATTCAATGCTGATACAAAGCTGGTTAGCGACCATGACGTACCAAAACATAAAATGTAAAAGAATAAAACCATTGTGAAAGAATAAACCAAGCGTGGTGTCAAGGAATGTGATTTGTATAGAAATCCTTGAGAATTTAACAGAAAATAAGAAAATGGTATGGTTAAATAAGATATTTTACACCCGATATTAATAAGCAATATCAAGTCTTGTATTAACTCCCCATTTAACCATTGTACATAATAAGATTTAGGAAAAATAATTAGAATCTCATTGGTGATGATGGTGAACGGCAATAAGCTGTATGAAGTCAGGCCTATCGTCAGTGTAAATGTACATATACCCAAGACCAGTTGGTAAGCTAAACGTTCACCTCGATATGGCTTTAGCTCACATTCCGTTTTAGTTAGAAAATACTGAAGTGTGATATGAGCAATAAAGAAAAGGATGGTGAATAGCAAAAAGACAACAACTAGTCCACGAATTTCATCATAAAATTCTTTTGCTTCATGACTGATCAATACCAATTCATCTGTCTGGTCCATGTAATCATTAATATCTAAAACAGAAGAAATATGAACATGTGATAGATGAGAGACAAAACAGATATAATCAACAAATTGTACTAGAAATCGATTGGGCATCCATGCATCTTTCACATCTGATTGTTCTGGTTTGCTAAGTAGATTCAAGTGATTTAAACACGGAATGTATTGTATGGGTTTCAAAGAAAAACGACGACAGGACATTGTTGTTTTAGCTAACCTATGTATGTTTTTACTTTGGACTACACAACATAAAAATGTTTCTCTTTAACTTGTTTAAATAGTAGGTGTCTTGAAATTTCCTTGTATATTTGAGTTTTCATCAAAGTTGTAATCTATTTTCCAAAACTAAACATCACTAAATGAAAAGCTATTCTTCCTTCAAAAACATTACATTTTTGGTAACCAGTCAGTTATAATCGACAGAGACTAACGCAATTACGCGTTAACCCGAGTCGCCATACCACTGAGCACGATAATATGGAATCAATATAACGAATACAAACCCAGCCAAAATAATTATGGCACCAATGACAGTGAGAGAGACTGAATACAGGATAGGGTTTGAGAAGACAAAATGAAGAGGTTTGTGTATGAAGAAATACTGGGGCTAGCTCCAGAAGACATGGTTTGATCGTATTTACGCCAGTAAAGGATTTCGAGTCAAATCACCAAACGTCTCCAACTAATAGTTGAGATAAACAAGAGGGCCCTAACGAGGTAGTCTGGACCAACCTACAGACCTTAATCCAGCAGTCGATAACTTCACAAAATGATGCTACACCTTGATTATTCCGCCCATACTTCTCTATCAACTTATTCTTATACTAGCCAAGATTTCATGTCAAGGCACCGAGTAGCTGGACATACGCAAACTCGTTTTTAGTCAAGTCATATACGAAGTACAAAGTTCAGCCATTGTCCTCGAACGATAATCTACCCCAAAATGCCCTGGTACGGCCGAGAGTGGGGAGAGTCAGCTCTCCCTTTCGAAATGCATCACATAGCCAGGTGCATACAACCACTGTCAGGAAGTCCTACTCACAACCTTCTCGCGAAATTACTGTTGTTTATGAAATTGAGAAGACGAAAAGAGAATGTCTGGCGTTTTAACCGGCTCAGTGGATATGGAGGATCCACCTAGGGGAGTCGGAAAACCCTGATTCCAAAACAATGGCGCACATGGGCTCTAGGATCATAAGGGAACAAAAGGCTTATAAACCTGTTGTCGGTCATCGGCTACCACAGGACCGTATCTCCCGACGTTGCTCCACTGCCGTGTGGACTAGACCTTTAGTTCAAAGACTCCGGGTGTGACCCCCTGAGAAAACCACCTGCTTCGGGTTGGGCACCCGAGCAGTATCCCAGCCCTCGCATATAGGGAATGATTTATGTGGCGCATATCTATTTGGTACATCTGTACCAATGTTTACGTTTGAATAAATAGAACATTTAAGTGAAAGGGTTAGAGATATTATGTTCCTACTCAAGATTTCAGGGGAACCACATTTTGTCCGCGTCCTTACCAAATAGAACTAATTTTTTTATGTATTTCAAGCCTAAGGATGAATTATGCAGTGAGAGAATAACCCCTAAAAAGTCAGACAAAGAAACTGTTGTCTTTCAAATAACGTCTACGATGAAGTTAAATAAACATAGGGGTAGTGTACAACTTTGACGAACACCACTTGAAGTCCACAAACATAACAGCTTGCAAAAAGCTCCAAATGAGTTAAATGTTCGAGTAAACCAATTTCATTAAGTTTATGCACTTCTTTGAATTACATTTCAATGACAAACATTGCCGCATAGCACCTCGCCGATTTCGTTGGAACTTAATAGAACTTTTGGACTCAGCTGTTTGTGAATATGAAAGTCACTAGTCATGAATGACAACTACTTACACTCTCCATTAACGCACAATTTAACAGAACATCACACGTTTTGGATGCATTGCTCACTGAGTTTGTGGAGACCACTAAAACTGAGGTTCAACAGGTAGCGATATAAAATAATAGGTAGTTTTATTCTTTGCCAGTACCACATAAACCCGATATTTTGGTATTTATTCAGTCACGTAGTCGCTGTGCGGCAATTTTATCTAACTTATATGAAATAGGTTTTATTTCAGAAGCGATGAACTTGACTAATAGTTGAATATACTGTCACAACTATAGATAAACAAATATCAGGTGCACGACAAAATAGTTCGGGAGAATTGTCAGCTAAATCAAGAATATCTAATTTGACAAATGTAGGATGTACAGTTGATAGATCGAGTAATAAATGCATATACATATAGTATGGAAAATTCTCACGTGACGTTATTGTGTTTAGTTTACGTATTGCTGAATCAACGCTCAAGCAAATGACTATTTCATGATTTTTAGAATACACAAGCGCCATTACAACAACCGACGACATTCGAAGGCCTCACTACATGTTCACTAAACTCTAATGAGTATGGTGTGAACAACAGAAGAAACTACGTGTTATAAAGATACTGTCAACCAACTTAGACACGAGGACTTGTTTTTAATCGAAAAATTTTGGATAAATAAGTAAACATACCAAGTCATGTTATTTCAGAAAATAATCCAAAAATGAATTCTGATGGATCTTGTGATTTACCAAACAATAATTTACAAATATAGGAATGTCTACCAATATCAGACCTAGAAAAAGTGGTGAAACATAAACATAAGTTTTGTTTGAAAGAGAAATAAACCTAGAAAAAATAAATTTACGAAAAACATAATGCCATAAATAGCTTAAAACAAGCGTTTTAGATGACTGTTTATCGAAAATATCGCGTCAGAACATTTCACAAGGTACCTAAATGTGTGTGGATCATCAGGGTGCAAAAGTAGCATGATAGATGAGATCGTTTCAACAGAACTAGTGTACTTTAATGTGGCAACAACTGATTTCAGTAACACGAATTTAGCTTATAGTTTGATACAAGATTATACGACGCGTTGTGTGTATCACGTCATAATTTTGTTCATAAAACCGGAAACGTGAGAGTTCTTTGCATCTAAAAATGGACTATTAAAAGGTTAAGCACACCTTGATTGAAAAAAGGTAGAGAATATCAGTCCTCGCGATCACAAGAACACTTCAAGATTGGTTATGATGGGAATGAAGTATATAGTGAGGTGCCACTGCTTTTCATAAACTCAAACAGGAAGCCACGGGATCTTACTGCATAGCTTATGATGCACAACGAAACAGATGGAACACTTCTATTCTCATCCTTTATATTCGCTCTCATCAAGTGTCAGGTTAACCGGTCAAATAAGCAAAACAAAGCCACCTCTTTATTGAAGTCCTTTTTAACAGAGCTGTTGATAGAAAGTGAAGCCCGACTGCTCTTCAAATTATTAAAATAAAGTCCAGTTAATAATAGAAGGTGCAATTAACATATAAAATGGCTTTGACAATTCTAAAATAAAAACGATGAGTAGTACTAGCTGCACGCACTATCACCAAATATAAACAGGCCAACATTTGAAAATAGATTTGTGGTTTTTTTACAGCTTAAAGATTTGTAATACACTTTAGGTAGACGAAACTGATTATTTCATCAGTCAAATGTCTATCATGATAATAATGAAGGGTCTACTATTTAGTTTAGCTGAAGTATTGGACATGCTTTGAGGCCCGAGAATTTTTGGACTATTAAGAAAGTAGTCCACTATCCTAAATTGTTTGATATGTACTGTGTAACTCGTCGGATGGTTAAGGATGCCATTGGAATAAACCCATCGATCAGATGCAAACCATTTTTTCAGTTCAATCGTTCCACATGTATCACTTGAACAATCAATATTCTTCAAATCATAAAGTAATGCCTGGCTTACCTATACCACTGTGAGAAACACTCTAAAACCGAGAACTCAAAGATTGTTTAGAGCGCCACATCACCTTGATATGTAGTTAAACTTCACAGGTCAAACAATTGATTTCTAAAACTATAAGAGTATGTGACGAAACTTGAAAACATTTGGGCTAAAGAAGCATAAAGAGTAAGTGAAGCTATGAATTCCCTCCCACATGTCACATGCTATCGTGAATTTTAGATATCTTTATGTATCCGTTGCGAACGAAATTCTTACCGTTCCATGTCTTATAGCCTTTATCTCGGTTCATAAGTAGTTTGCTGTTGTTATTATTCACTATCTAAGTAAACGGTTAGTCAACTGCAACGTGGCAATATTGTATTGATCTATAGGTGCCACAAGTATTCGGAGTTTGACAGCATCTTAACCAATAACGCCTTCAATGAACGAAACACGACAACCCAGTGTTGTGACGTACAAAGACATATGTACTATATGGTATGGCAGTTTCAACGAAAACATCAGTTGGTCGTGGTTGAGTGAACACGTTAGATTTGTTGGACTGCTCGTGTAAGAGTTTAGATCCTTATTCATTGGTGCTAGTGAAGAATCCAGGAACTCTCCTGGAAGTTGGAGTGTCGTCCCATAAACTACTTGAGCTGCAGTGTATCCAACATCAGCTTTTGCTGCAATGCGAATACCAAATAAGATGAATGGAAAAGCGTTGGTTCACTATGAACCGTTTGCAGCTGAGAGTGAAGCTTTGAGCTGTCGTTGAAAGCGTTCTACAAATCCGTTTGCTTGTGGGCGGTAGATGGTCGATCGGAGTCGCACGACTCCTAATAGTGTAGCCAGAAATCGGAAAAGTTCAAATTTCAATTGACGTCCACTGATTGATCGATATTTGAAGGCAGTCGAAATTTGCTACCCATCGTTTGATGAGGGCGTGGGCCACTATTTCAGTAGTAATATTCTTTATGGTTACTGCTTCTGGCCATCGAGTGAAACGGTCTACGCAAGTGAAGATATAGGAGTATCCATTTGAATCTGGCACAGGTCCTACTCAATCCAGATGAAAATCGTCGAAAACAGCATCTACAGTTGTGGAAGAGCCTAAAGGACATTTGTTGTGTCCAATCACCTTGGATTTCTATCAGCTTACACAGGAGTGTGCCTGTAGTGGCATTGGACCATAACCACACAATCCTCAAAGCTAAATACGAGATTACTCGGATGTTAGATATTCAATATTTAACTCGGATAAATACCTAACGATGGACAAGACGGTAAGAATGAGTTAAATGAATTGGTGTTGATCGAATCTCATGGCTCGGCCATGCAGGCGTGGTCCATGTTATCTTATATCTTTTAACCATATTAAATATACTGTCCTATCTCTAGCCTGAGCTTGTTCTCCATCATGTATTAATACATGATGGAGAACAATTACCAATCGGTAATTGTTATGATGCAATGAGTTCGTGTAGACGATGATGTAACTTCCATGTAAGATCTTATAGATTAAGCAGTTATATATGACAAATCTACAATTTTGGGATTAGGTTTATTGTTCGAGCAGTACTAATATCATAGTAGACCATAGTTCTACATGCCCATTCTCTCACATTTTTATTCATACTAGGCCAGCAAAATCGTCCTGCTATGAGCTTGATGGTTGCACGAATACCTGGATGAGAATGTTTGTGTAACGTATTGAAGATTTTGCGAGAATAATGTTTGGACACGAAAGAACGATCCCTACCTGTAGATGTGTCGCATAATAAGGTTAAATTACCTGTCCCCATTTATTTAATAGGCAGTTTCAAAGTTGTTGAAATTAACTCGTGCTGTGAAACGTTGTCTCCTTTTTTTGTGCTGAATGAATTTAGGAAGATCGATTTATTGGAAACTTTTTAATGAAGTCATACGAAACAAAGTGTCTGCCGCTACATTCTTTAGGGCAGAAATGTGTTGTATGACCAAAGTGAGCTGAGAAATGTAGTCTAGTTGTCTGAAGCTGAACTCAAAGAGATGGAGAGGTGTTTGTAATCAGTAAAACTAATGAATTCTCGGCCTGCTACGATGTGTTCAAAGTGCCGAAGATTTAAATAAACAACACTATCTCCCTAGCAAGTGGCTATCAGAACTTAGTACTTGATTGAATAAAGCGATGGCATTTGAAGGGAACGGTACTGGGTTCAAGTCACAGAGTGAACATCAAATATAGGGTGCCGGTACATCCAGGAGACGAGTCCCAAATAGGACAAAACGGTCACCCTGGATTCCACAGCTGGACGTTATCTTTGCTTGTAGTCTAGAGAATAGCTTAAAATTACATCTGAAGGAAATTGCTTCCATCACCGAATGATTCTGAAATCTATCATATGTTCCAATTCGTTTATAACCAACCTCATATTTTCGGGTGCTAGTCGGCGCGCTTTCGAGAATACAGGTGGTACTGTGGTCGTGATGTGGTGTGTAACATGGCTGTCCACACATGGCGATTCCGGTTGTGTTTGGTATATCTCAGGGTACTTTTCCAGTATTTGGTGATAGTACGGATCGACCGTCTGCCTTACTATGACTGAGGATAATCCACAACTGAAAAAAGAAGTTACACAGATAGACTAGTAATTCCGTCTAGCAACCTCCGTTTGAGCGTGTCGAGAAGTAGTTTATGATGTTGTAACAGGTTTATACCAATGATTGGCATAGAAACATCTGCAGCAACAAAGATCGAGTGAATGGGTTTGCGTAAGTCCATGTTATGGTACAAAAATCGCTTACTATAGGTAGCGACCGGTTCCCCATTTCCCACCCGTAAGTTGAAAACTGCTTCGTGTAATCCATCGTTAGAACTTGCTGGAAAAACAATAACTTCTGCGCCAGTGCCAACAAGGTAGCGAACTATCGTAATCACATCGGTGATACATAACAGACGACTACGGTTGTCATTTTCGGATACTGGCCTGGAAGTTTAAAGTAACAATTTCCTTGTCAATCAGTTTGAGGCTTGGGAAAATGCAGGGTTTTCCACAAATTCGAGAAGATTGACTGTACTGATTATGACACCAGAAACACTCAGGATTATCCGTCTCTCGTAATCTAGAGACAGATGGTTTCCGTGAACACACCTTCCAGGAGTTTGAGATCGTCTGTAGTTATGACGATTACTAAAGCAAAGTGTCAGAGCATGACAGAGTTCCGTGACGTTATTTTGTGTCGTTTGAGCTTTCTCTTAGACTGAATAGATGTCGACGTCGTAAGTTCTCGTGATCTATAGAACTCGATTGGCAGATGCAGTCGGCTTGTCTACAGCGTTGTTTTGAAATGAGACGAGCGTTGCTTGCACTTGTTAGAGAAGCTGAGACAAGAAAAGTTGTCTAAACGGGCCTTCGTCGAAGATCCATTGACCAATGGTCTGTCTCATTCTTAGTAATATGTGTTGCTGAGCCATGTTTTTGAGGAGTTGGTCTAACCTTTGTCGATCGTTTTTCTTCATTAGTAAAACAATGCGTGCTTATTTTCAGCATGGATACTAAATGATGTTGTTAGTCAATACTAATTTATGTGTGGTATAAGTTCAGCGAATGAATTTCTCGAAGCAAAATCTGAACTTACCTATTGATTACTAATTTCTAATTGTTTTCTCCAATGAATTCATGGTGTATGTAAACCGTGAATTACTGTCATTATTCTAAACGTCGCAATTGGATTTCCCACAGATTTCATAGTAATAGTCGAAGTTAGTGAATCAATTTATATTGTGTTCACTATTCGTTCTCAGAGACTAAACGACTAAGTAAAAGTGTAGAGACGTTGAAGAATGAAGGCCGTTGTTTAAACATATAAAATACTTATGACTACATTCAGTCAGACGCTATTCCATTTACGTATTGAATTTACCACTCATAACAAAGTTTGATCGCTTTTTTCCATGATTGATTTGTTATTTTTCAGAGTATCGTTGATTAGGCTAAGAATCTATCTATATGTTTTCAGATATGGAACTTATGGCTTCTGTCAATCAATCGCTAATCTGAAACCTTTCCAATATACAAGTCTATACTGGTGAACAACTTATTAGATTTCTGGATATGAAAAATTATGTGAACGAACAATTTACAGGTTGATGATAACTGTGTTTAATATTGATCACTTCCACGTTTGTCCATGTAATGAATTATTTAAATATAAATATAACAACTACATGCAATCTTCGAATTATTTTGCAAAAGAACGCTACAAGCGATGAGTTCGTAGCGTCTCAGATCCCGTAAAGGCTTGGTGAAAGTTCATATTCTTTCTGACTACAAATCTTGCAATTATTCACCCGAATATACTGTTAAAGTGAAGAAAGTCATATATACGAAGCAACAGGTTGGCGAAACTTCTAAACTGGTTCAGTGCTTATGAGTTCTCACAACGAAACCGGTACTTGTAAACCAAACACATAGTTATTTCTAATTGTCACAAATAGCCACCTGTTGAGATGATCGAATAAAGCTTCCCATGAAACTACGATAAAAACAAAAATTGTGCAAAAGTTTATTGATAAGTCATCACCACAGGTAAAGAAAGAACAACATTTGATGCAGAAAAATGAGTTTATAAGTTGAATATATAATTAAGCAGAAAATGCAAGCACAATGAAGTTATAACAAACATTATCATGAATTTAATAATACTTATAATTAGCAGTTCCTGTCACGTCTCCATAGTTTCTTATATTTTGAACCATGCTTTTGTCATAAGGAATACTACGCAAAAATAAAAAGAACCTGAAGTTTTACATAGTTATTGACGACCGCAATTGATATTGTATGATAACTAGAAGTATTCAGATTATTGTACAAACTATAAATCTTCGAAAAAGCTCAATTTAAACCAAACACCTTTATTAATGCTTGGATTGTGAAATCAGAATTTGGTGAAGTTGTGAAAAAAATTCAGGCCACTTTGGAAAAGAAGCAATGACTACAAGTGCATAGTATTTGCCAAGAAACGGACCACAATAGTCTGCATGAATTCTCTCCCAGGCCTCAGACGATACTAGCCATGGAGTCCACTTCAAAGCCTGAGTTTTCAACCGATGACATTTTTTACAATTGCTTGCTGTACGACATATATCTGCATTTATCTCTGATCACCAACATGTGAGCCTTGCCAAGGACTTCGTACCACATCAGAATCTAATGATTTCAAGTTCTTGAGTGAAATAATAAACTCCCCAAAATAACACAATTTAAGTCAGGTATTACTAGGTAAGCATAATCGAACGTATCGTATTTGGAATTCAAAATCAGATAGACATAAATACAAAAAGAATCATTAGTTCATACAAACATCACACTAGTGTTTTTGATTATCCCAAAAATGATGGACTTTTCAACAGAAAATACCATGATTCTGGTTAAAAAAAAAGAACAAATTGGTAATAATTATTGTTCTAATTTATTTTTATACGTTCTAGAGTCATAACAACATTTAACACATTCGGTCGATCAATATTGTGTACTTTACAATAAGGTATACCTTCAAATATTCTAGCGTACTTTGTAACATTTTTCTCATATTCCACCTGAGGTTTTTAAAAAAGATGAGAAAAGCAAAATAATTGTTAGAAAAAAACAATACTGCATCAAGCACTAGAATAAAACGGATTATTAAATAAAGATAATAGATGAAAAACTACTACATGTAAAATAAGATAAATACGATTATACAATTTTAGTAAGTGATATCGTCCAACAGATCTTCATTGAAGTACCTTTATTTGGATAAGGGATGATATTTCTTATACGAATGTGGATGTTTAAAAGTTATTATAAGCAGTACAACATTAGCTGTATATTAGTAATGCTAGTTAATTTTCGCCTAAACAATGAACACAATAATACAGAGCAAAATTATATGTATTTGTGGGCATGTATAAGAATCAACGTATAAATTGACTAATTCTAAAAATAAGCAATACTATTCGAGATGTTTTCAATAACATGTTTAATGTCCTTCTTATTCATCAAGTAATTTTGAGAAAATGTGACCAACCAGATCAATAATAACTTGTCATCAATTAATTATTCTTTGAACTTAATTGCAAACAGAAAGCGGTCTCATAATGACAAAAATTCAGATGGTATTGAAAACCTATATATGTGAATTTCTTCTACCTTTTATAAATATGTGAATTACTTCTTGTGTAGCTTCAAATATTTAGGAAACTGCTTTCAAACCAATATTATTCATTGAAAGGTGAACAAAATTAAGAAGCCTGTGACAAACTGTGGTGTTTGAACGAACTAATAATACCTTTGTACTTGTGGAATGCTCGATTTCGAATTCCAAATACAATACATCTGCTTGTGCTTGTGTCTTACTTCTTAATTCAATTGCGTTATTTCTGGGACTCTTAGTTCATGCTATAATTCAAACATTTCGAAACATTATACAAACGTAAGAGCAACGAAACGGAGAATAAGATTTAGTAATATGATCAAGAAGATGACTGAAGTTTCGATTTTGTCGGAATTTGCACGCCTTGGTATTTCACACAGAAAATGAGATATGGCGAGACTATAATTTATAGACGAATCAATCAGATATAAGATAACACATCTTGGATTTTGGCATGAAATTCACTCATCCATTCGGTTAAATAGCGTTTTGACATTTTAGCTGATGAAAACCCTAAATCTAATTCCTCACCCTAACCATCAACTGAAAATCATAAATCTAGTCCCTTACACTGGTTTATAACCCTCATTTAGTCCTAGTTTGTAGGTGGACGTTCTGAAGAGCAGTTTAGCTTCGCCCAATGGTCGTCTATAAATCATAGTCTCACCGATTATATTATTGACATGACAGTAAGCAAATAGGGAATATTAATAACAATGAACTGGTAGTATATATACAATAAACCGATGAGCGGAAAACTGAATCAGAGACGTTTTGTAACGTAGTTCGAGTTGCTTCTTGAGAGTTTGCAACAAACGCCTTTGAAAGGGCAGATGATCATTGTATAAATTGGGGAATAGTTCTTTTCTCAACAATTTGGTTGTTGTGATGACTAACTGCAGGTGATTGTAATTGTTTTGGCCGAGATAAACAGATGTGTCAGTGAACGATTTTTAAATGTGTAGAGAAATAATAATTAAACTAACGACTGAGCATCAGTTATGGAAATTGAAATCGTACTCCTACGAGTCAGTTATATGGTATGTCATACTAGGGCGCATTAAAATGTATTATTTATTTGAAATGATTGAGTCAATTCATTGTGTAATACGTACAAAGAATATTAATTGTCTGACTGAAAATTCAATTTCATAATTACGTTCCCCACCATGAAATCGGTTTATAAGACTCCCTGTCACAGATTTTGTGATCTCTGGTATTTTCGTCACTGTAGTGTACATTAAGCTAAGTGAAAACCACGAAATAATGGGTGAGCGATTTGAACAGCAACTGTTTTATTATTGTAATGTGCACATAGATATTTTAACAAGTGATAAAATGGGTTGTGCTGTATTATGGTGCTGAATAAAAACTCTTGACGTAAATAATGCATGACAATTAAGTAGGTATGTGATATACGACAACCAATATATTAAATACAAGGAAATTAAATTAAATGCGAATATATAAACTTCTATTGCACGTACCTTCCCCAAATTTCGCAACTGCTGTTCACCGCCATCCGCTTTCGTAGTCGTAGACTGTATATTTTTTTTCGACAATAATTTTTTAAGATGTTTCAATTTAATAATTATAACTACAAAATGATCTGCTTGTAAAAAATCTTCTGCCTGTTTCACCCGGACTCTAAACATATTATCGTCTATATTAGAACTAAATTCAATCACTTTTACTCGAGTTTTCCCCTGCAAATTAATCCCATATTTACGTAATGATTTGTTGACACTTGATGTATCATCTTTGGAAATCAGTTGAAGTAACGGAGGTTGTAAATCATCACTAATCTATAAATATGTAAAAAAAGTATGAAATTATTTAATGAAACTTTGAATATGGTTGTATGCGTTTCAATTCATCTATCACAAATAAAAACATCTGATGTAAGTTTATTGGAATTTTCTTATTGTTAAGTCCGACCGTTATCTGAAAGACATTCAGCATAATGAAGTTCGATTATAGTTTATTCTTGTGATAATACTGGACTAAAGTAAATTTCACTGAGGTTTTCTAAAGCTACATGGAGCTCCAATTCAATAAGTGTTTAAGGCTATGAACTGATAGAATTTCTCACGAGTGCGTAAAACTGATCAGTCCTCCGTCGGATTGAATCGTTTCTGAAACTAAGACGGGTTTGGAATCTCCAAGTATTTCTCTTTACCCCTTCAATTGCTTGTTTAGAAACTGTAAGTTTAATAATTCAAAGATATTCACGCTTTACCCTATCCCACACTGTTTATGAAGACATAGTTGTACAAGAACAGGGTGTGCAGAGATGACAGATTTCCAATGAAATGAGCTTAAATATCAAATGACCTTTCCATAATTCTAGTAAACACCATAAAATCAGGAACTTTGTGTCGATTGTATCATAAAAATAGAGAAAATGGAAAAATTCCTCATGGGGTTCTAATTGCTTTCAACCTAATATAGTACCAATAGACGAGTACATGAACCGGTTCTTATTGGGTTGTCCACTGAATTAGTTTAAGTTAATCATCCATACTATATTTAGTCGCTTAGTTGTTTTAAATGAGTAAAATTCAGTTCAAACTGAGGTTCAGATACCCATTACATACTTACGCCTCTTAACCGTCGCAAAGGAGCATAGGCCACCCAACAGCATTCTCCATCCCACCCTGTCCCAGGCAATCCTTTCCAGTTGTTGCCACTTGCTATTCGTTCTTTTGATGTCTGCTTTCAAATTCATGGCGCAGTGTCTTCTTTGGCCTTCCTCTTTACCGTTTTCCTTCAGAATTCGAAGTTAGTGCTATATTTCCACGCTAGTTCCTTCGTCGTATCATAAAGCTGTTAAATATTTCCTTCTCTTACAGCTTTTTCAGCGGTTGTTGCTAGCTCCTCCACGTATTTCTGCTTGTCAGCTATAATAGTCTTATTCACTTGCTTGTTTGCTTCAGTGTATCCAACTTGTGTCTTCAATGTCTCTGTTCTTGTTTGACTGTTGTTAATTACTGTCTTCTCGTTCTTCTTTTCTTGAATCTTGTCCAGGGTTTCCATAGAGATCCATTCCTTAAGATGACACTTGAGGCTCAGAACTTGACATGTTGGAGTTAGTGCTTCTTTAACCCCTTCCCAGTTGTCCTCCATAGTAGCCTCTTCTTCTCTGGGTAGATCTTGTAGGGCGTGGAACCTGTTGTTGAGAGCTGCCTTGAATTCGTTGAGTTTGTCAGTATCTCGAAGGAAGGTTGCATTGGATCTTTGTAGTAGTTTCTTCAGTTGTCCAATGCTTCTTTAGCATTAGTTTCATCTGGGCAACCACTAGTTGGTGGTGATCTGGAGCTATACCAGCTCCTCTTCTGGTTCTCACGTCTTTTAATGACCTGAATTTTTCGCTGATGCAGATACGACTGATCCGATTCTCTGTGGTGTGATCCAGTGAGATACATGTAGCTTTGTGTATGTGTTATATCTAGAGCTTATATTCTGAATATGCCGCGTATAACTTGAGCATTCGACGATAGAACACTCCTAAGTCGTAAAGGAGAAGACAAGTGAAAGGAATGTTATTCTAAATAGTGTCAATTATGGTACAAAACTGTCAGGTATTTGTAGTTTTCAATAAAAGCGAAATCATCATTGCTGAAAAAGGATATCAAATGGTTCTGGTCAACAGAATGCCAAGAAGCATTCCTAAAACTAAAACAACTCCTACCATCAAACCTTCTGCTTACACACTTTGATCCAGATCTTCCAATTGTGGTCGCAGCAGATGCGTCAAACTACGGAATCAGAGCAGTAATTTCATATACCTAGCCTGACAGGTCTATGAAGGCAATCGTCCACGCTGCACGGTTGCTGACTATTGCAGAAAGGAACTACAGTCAGATAAAGAAAGAAGCCCTCTTCATTATATTCGCTGTAAAAAATTCCACAAGATGCTGTTTGGTAGACAGTTCACCTTACTAACAGACCATAAACGGCTACTGACAATTTTGGATCCAAGAAAGGTCTCCCTGTATATCCAAAAACCCTCTACAGAGATGGGCAACTACACTGCTTGACTATGATTTCAAGATAAAGTATCAACCGATAACGGATTTCGGACAGTCAGATGCCCTCTCAAGATTAATTAGTTCCTATGCAAAACAAGAAGAGGTGCTTGAAGCTTCCATAGATGTTGAAGCTGAGGTTCTCACAGTACTGGCAGATGCAGTTTCCAGACTTCCAGTCACATTCGAAGCCATGAAAGAAGCTAATGAGAAGGACAATGCGTTGAAGGTTGATCGCCACTGTCTACTCAACAAGTGGCCTGTGTGAGACTTGGGAGTGTTCTAGCGTCGAATGCTCAAGTGTGAGCAGCATTTTCTTCTTCGTGATCAGAGTACAGCAGCATCTTTCCCGAATCTATACTTTGCTGTCCAGTTTGGACCCAATGGGTTTCGCTGATACCGAGCACCATCAAGTTGTATCCACTCGTTTCCGTAACTATTTGATTGATCGTCCCGGTCTCCCACATTGTCCGAACATTCCATGTACCGATATAAGTTGTTACTCTGATTGTTAGAAGGGGCATCGACCTCGTGACTTCGGAAGAATATTGACTTCCATCATGAGGCGTCATAAATCTTCCTTGAACTCGGAGGGTAGAGTTTAATTGGTATAAATTATTTATTTTGGTTAGTGCTTTTTAGCAAGGTTGTGTCGTACGAGATGGGGGTCGACGGTCACACACCCAACCCTTCCCCTTTACCCGGGCTTGGGACCGGCAGTAGATCTAGTAGAGCTACAAGCGGAGTTGAGGTTCATATAGCATGATATTAATTGTTCCCGTGTTATAAAAAGAGGACAAGAAAAAATCTTAATAAGACATTTAAAGCAAATAAATAAATTTCAAAACTTACAAAGTTGACTGAACAATGAGTTTTCCTAATCACTTTTTGTATATCACTTGACAATACAGTAATAAATTCAGATGGTTTATCAGAAGGAGTAAAATTAAAATATTGTTGTACACGTGTTGGTAAATTATCTAATCGTAATCGAACTGATGATGATTTCATTAGTATTTTATAACCGTTTGGTTTGTTTATTTCATCAGACTTCGTTGATAACGGTGAAGGTGATATTAATAATAGGGAAGTAGTGGTCATTAGATGACAAACAGTTTTACATTTTTGTTTATACGACATAATTAAGTTGGGTATACATTTCGGTAGATTCATGAAAATATAATTTATTTTCGATATTTCTTTTTTCTATATTTGAAAGGTTGTTTTACTAGAGTAAGGGAATTAAAGTACTAACAATTATAAGAAACAATGAATCATCAAATATTTTACACATGCAGATCTAATTTTTTGTTAATTTTTAAAGAATTGCATATAGCCATTCAAATAGTAAAATGAAAAAAACTGCTTATCAAAAAGTTATGCATTTTAAAAAAAGTATATCATTTTGAAACAATCTAGTTAAGTGTCTACTTCTCATCAATAGTAACTGGAAGGTGAAATACGGGAAGCTAAAACACACAGGTAAGTTCTTCAGAGTATAAGCAAAATAATTAACGTAGGACAATTAGTGGGTGTAATTTTTCACTATATATCAATCTTTAAATCATTGAAGTTTCTAAAACAATGACCTTGTAGCAAACTGACGACGTACTGTTAAGACTGGAAACGGATTGCATCTATTCCAATAAGATAACAAGATTAAGTCGCTAAACTAAGGCACTAATTCTTTTATCACTTATGAATGCAACTAAAACTTATTCAGAAATCTTGGTGCTTACAGTAAAAGTGGATGATGAGTGTTAAACCCGACGACAGCAATGCAGAATACGACACGAAAAGTTTATATGAAGCATAAAATACTGTGGATTATACATGATGGGAACTGCCATAATCAACAAGTACCCATGCATACAAATGATTGATTCGAACAAACGTTTAAGTTGAAATTGTGTTAACCTTCACCAACTCGGAAAATATAGTCCGTCATGATCTGCTTGTTAAGGTATCCCACAATCAGACATCTCTTACATCAGGGATATATATATCAAATTTTCAAAATATAAAGAATAATTTTAATAAAACTTTTTACAATCCAACACGAAGATCTGAATCGATTACACCATTATTTTATTTAAAAACCTATCGTTAAAGTGTACAGACAAGTCTTTTCAACAAAGAAAAAACGAAATATTTAAAATGTAACAAATCCTGCTGGTTAGAATTTTTTTAAATTATCATAAAACTTCACTTTTCATTGTAACTGGAAGATATTAACTAGGTAAATATAAATGAATATCCAACTAGAATTAAATCAAAGTGCAACTGACGGAAACATATGAATAGCGATTATTTTTACAAGATATATAACACATATTTGCATGAACTGATCCCTAGTGCTGACTGTATTCTATCTCTCATGTTGCAATGTACCCACTAGCATAAGTGACCTGGTATCTATTTATCGACAAGACAATGAATTGAGGTTTTGTGAAATTTATGATCAGTCGAAGGTAATATCACCTTTTGTTATGCAGTGAACGATACGGATTCGAATCCTACGTGAAAGTTCAATTGCTTCAAAATTAGAGACAAGCCTTAATATTAAGCGATTTGTTTGTTTCATGCAATTGGTTCCCTTTATGAATTTAAATAAAGCAAGAACAAATATTGATGCAGAATAGTATGAATTCATATTATTTCGAGGTTTCTCGTCAGCTGCTTACAAACCAAAAAATGTGATAGAATTTTTACATTGAGATAGAGTGAAAACAAATGACATAGATGAGTGCAAATAACTGGGTTACAATAATAACTATATATATATATATGCTAGAACAGGTCAGAGGTCAAAAGGAATTAATTCGGGTTGGGTGGTGTAATAATGCAATTGAATAATCATAAGATAGGTTACGTAATAATAATTAAATAGAATATGAAAAGTTAAGGTAATTTAGGAGGATCAGGTGGTGGAAATGCGTAAATAATAATGTGGTTTAAGAATTATGTAATAGAGGAGGAATATAAATATATATATAAATATAATATATATATATATATATATATATATATATATATATATAGTTATTATTGTAACCCAGTTATTTACACTCATCTATGTCATTTGTTTTCACTCTATCTCAATGTAAAAATTCTATCACATTTTTTGGTTTGTAAGCAGCTGACGAGAAACCTCGAAATGATTTGTTTGTTGTTTGAACACATAGACATTGGTACAAGGAAGTACCAAATACATATGCGCCACACTAATCTCACTTGATTTGTGAGAGGGCTGTGATACTGCCTGGGTGCCCAAACCGAAGCGAGAATTTGGGCGGAACCTTTGCTTCTAGTTCTTTGAACACTCAATGGTGAGCTATAGCCTTTACGTACATAACAAGACAAATACTCAGTTGGTCAGACGGACCTTGTGGACAAGAACTATGTAACCTTTCATTTTGTTTTGATATGCTTGAGTTAAAATATGAAAACTATACTGTGCGGTTGGAATGACAAATAATTAACATACTTGGTAGCTAAATTGAAATGGAATTCTTAAAAGTAAAATCTTGATTAGAAAGCTAAATCAGAAAGTTGTGAATAGAATTAAGTACTTATAAAATCTGACATTAAAATTATTTGACTTATCTGATTAATAAATCGAAATGAATTGGATACTTTATTCCTGTTACGAGTCACATTAGCAATATTTGAATTAAGTTCATCGATACGTTACTAAAGTCCAACCGTACTTGAAAGGTTAGAAACATAAAACCGTGTCACATGGAGTTATAAGTATTACACTAATAACTACATCACCAGTTAAATCTAGGTACATACGATCTACTAGTGCTTAATACAGGATGAAACTCGAGTTTAGTATTCCACTACTAGTTATCAATTAACAGATTAAGTGATAATAATGAAATTAGCTCTAAAATAGGTTATAAATTATAACTGTATTACTCAATAATAAAAAGTGAAATTTAAACAAGATTTTAAAAAATAGGTGTATTCCCATCTATGCTGTGCATACAAGCTCATCATTAGGCGTCCATTCACTTAGAAATCCAAAGTACAAGTGTAATTACGTACTCAAGTAATATAATGCCGTGATTGAGTACATTTTCAAATACTAGCCGGATAAGAGTAGTAAGAGCAGATTTCGAACATGAAATCGGATAGTTGGAAACCAAATGCTTAAAACACTAAGCCACGTAATAACAGGTTACTGTATTATGTAAAGAGCCAGGTGATTTGTGTTAGGGCCACCAATACTATCGACCCATAGGTCGTAGTGATTAAGTGTTGAGTTGTTGATTGAAATTTGAGAGAGTGAACGAATAAACCACAGCTTTAATAAATTATTCAAGATAACGAAAAGTATCAAAGTTTTAAGCAAATAAGATTATATGAATTAAAAGTGACTGATGCATATAATAATGTTTATATTTACAATAATTAACAATATCCACTCGAAATATTTACAAAAAGGGTAACTGAAAATTTGAAATAGTTATGACTCATGAATCAGATGAAGACGACTCGTTACTATTTTTTGTTTCGTCATACAAATTTTTTAGTCCATTGACAATGAAAGATTGATGACAGTTTAAGTCTTGCACAATTTGCCCGCCTCGATTTTGTTCTAATAACATAACCAAATGACTACGTGCACCATCTAAACCTTGAGATGACAATGCAGCAAACTCATTCAGTTGCTGTACAGTCATGATCCTATAATCAACAATACCGCCTAAAATGTATACAAAAAATAAAGATGTTGAAGTGATTTAGATTTTTATAATTTTGTTTAAAATTGAAATATTACAACGATAAGGAAACCAAAAGATGGACCACGTGGTTATAAATAGATGTATAAGAAGCTGACCTTAACCACATTTGAATTAATTCTGATAGCTTTTCAAGTACCATAAATGGTTACAATATGACCGTCAGTGTTTTCCAACCGTAACACATCTCAAAGTGGTTAGTTAGATCACTACATCTTTGAACTATTGAGAAAAATTGTGTCCAAACAAACACTAATCAAATGAATATCTCTTTAGTATTATGGATATTTTGTATGCTGAATAGATTGACTATCAAACAACTCATATTAGTTTTAGTGAACAAAGTAACTCTAAATGAAACAAACAATATGGTTAGTTTATTAGCCTTCAGACTACTTCAGGAAAAAAGGTAAATTGAAACAAATAAACTTAACTTTTAAAATACTGATCAATCCGAATTGTAGTATATAAAAGGTAGTATTATTACTGTTTTTGTAAAACAAATACTACAGAATTCATATCGAGAAGTACAAATTGAATTTGTGTGTAGCTAATCACAATGTGGTGTGTACTTCTTGTACGGACAGGTATAAATAGTGTGTATCAGGAATTGAAAGTAGAATTCTTACAGATAGAGAACGAAAACGAAGAGAAAGGAAAACAGAAAGCAATTAGAATAAAAATACGGATAAAAGGACGATAGAGTTTGCAAGGGACAACTGAGGGAAGATGGCTAAATCGTGTATTTAATGTATTGTTTTCATATTTTAGAAATAATGTGTGATTTGGCATAATAAAAACAAATTGTTTTGCTCACCCGAGTCCTCGTTCATTACAACAGTAGTGGCAGTTATAAAACTGGCAAATCATATACAACGACTTAAAAACATCTTGTAAATATAAAACCTAACCAACTTCTACAGATGACATTCCTTGGTTTCTTTAAAAAGGGATAGAGTAGTACTAAAAAATATAGGACGCTTATGTTATATTAGCAATTAATAGGATAATTAAATAATCATGATCGCTCGGGAAATATAGAATTCAGAAACAAAAACGAATTTTGGATATGAAGAATTGCCCCATAGTATTTTTGTCTAATCTCCTGAGATGGAAAAAATTGAGTGCGTTAGCAACGATAACTCCCTCGAATATGTTTTCATAAATACTTGACTATTATTATCTTATATTACTTACTTTCTTAGTAATGATTTATAAAATGATAAATGATATTATCTTTTAGAAAATTGAAGTCAGAAGATGAGTATTTACGCAAAGCTTAGGGTATATGACACCAGAATACAGACGAATAGAGATTATGTAAGACTCAGAACGACAGTGGCATTAGTTGGCATTATCATGGTTTCAATTATCACAAAAATGGAGGCTCTCAACAGGTAAGTATCTATTACTAGTTGACTG